CATGGGTAACAGTCTTCATGCCAGGTACTCGTATGTGGGTGGACCCGCCTGGAGACAGATAGAGGACCAGTGTCTCTCCTAAGACCATTGGAAATAATGTGTTTTTCGAAGGTCTTAGGTGACTCCTGTGAAAGGGTCTTTGGACCCCCAAAGGGGTCGCAACCCACAGGTTGAGAACTGCTGCTCTAAATAGAAAGCTTGATTAGTTGTCTGACCTGTTGGAATGAACTCCAAATGCACCACTAGTTGACATTTTTGTCCTTCAGAAAGTTGACGGATGTCTAGAATGAGGTTTGTCATCAATCTACATTTCACCCTTTTTGAAACAAGAAAACTAGTCACATACTTGAGTTTTTCCCATAGCACTGTCCTTGTAAGCAGTTTTCAACATTACAATAGTTTCTGTGACATTTTTCCCAAGTAGGAAACAAAATTTCACAGCCGCACGCTGATCTCTTAAATCAGCCATCACACACAAAAACAGTTCAAACAAAACTGCTTTTAGGAAAAAATTCGTGGTGACCAGAGAGAACCTTCCCAGGCTATGCCACTTGGTGCCCTAACTCAGATGGAGTTGCTTGATGCTCGCCTAGTGGGAAAGTCTGCTCCTCCTAGCGCAATTCCGGTGTGTTTGTGTGTGTGTGTGTGTACACGTACATACATACTCCCACATACTCACAGTTAAGGGGGGTTATTATGGAAGTCAATAGATTACCGTAGTCAGGATCAAGAAATAATAAGGACGCAGTCATTGATCTTAGCCAGCAGCCAAGGCCCTCTCATTCTAAGCCTCTCAATCACATAATAGCCGAGTCTCTGGTCCTTAGTATTTCACCCATGTGGTCCCTGATCCTTGGCCTTCATGAGCCAGGAAGACAGCTCACCTGCCCTGCAGTCCCACAATTCATAGTAAGTCCCAGATGAGACAGTACCCCGTAGTCTCAGTGTTTCTTCTGAGTCTCCATGGTCTCCACCAGTTCAGAGAACTTGCATGGGCTCTGTCTTCCAAGGTCTTTGGAGTTCTTCTCTGCTGCTGCTTTCAAGACGGTTCATCTTACAGCCACGGGCGCTGTAACGGGAACTGACCATTTCCCTCTCTCGTGTTGTTACACAGTCCCTATTTCTATATTCCCACTCAGTCACTTGGTGGGGTTGCAGAAACGTTGAGTTAGAAGAAACGTGTTAAGAACTTTCCCTCCTCCATCATTCATCTGTTGTATCTCTATATCCCCCAGTCTAACCTTCAAAAGTAAAAAAAAAAAACCAAACTCACAGCCATTGAGTTGATGCTGACTCATAGCAACCCTGTAGGACAGCGTGGAATTGCTCCTGTGAATTTCTGAGACTACAGGAGTAGAAAGTGCCCCTACCAATAAAATTTTTTTGAGATTACAGTACATTGTGCTCTGGTTTCCAGGACCTCTGATCCTCTCCCCTACCTGGGCCATTTTAGCTACACATCTGCACAGGGCTTTGGGTCCCCTGCAGGGAGCTGGGCCAGAAGGCCCTGGTCCCCTGGTCAATCTTTAGTTACATCAACTGTCTGAGCCTTTGCTTTGCTGGGTTCTAGGTGTGAATTCCCCTTATTAAATACATAAATGTGGAGGTGACTAAGACAGACTTATTTAATCTTCCTTAACGTTGAAGGACTGGCAGAAACTTCCTTGGTCCACCCAACCTCCCGTAGTGCTTAGAATCTTTGTGTCAACTCCACCAATATCTGCTATATTTATCCCATTTCTTGAGCCCTCTAAAAATCTCTTTCCTACTGGGCTAAGTTCTTTCCCAGTTGCTCCTTCTCATTTATTAATTACACTGATGTTTTGGCATGTGAAAACCCATGGGGAAGCTGTGCCAGCAGATCTGCCGTCTCCGATTGTTGCTGTGCTTCACAGTGGTAGGACATGGGGCCGTGAAGCAGGAGGCCCCTTGATTACCATCTCTTCCATGACTGTGGAAGGGCCCTGTGCATTGGATGAATATCCTGATCACCGTGGCTTAAAGAACATCTTTGCTAGCATGCATTAACATTTGATTGGACTTTTTAAATGTTTTTAACTGATTTTTAAAAATAGTATGGTTAAATAGAATGTTTTAAAGAAGATAAATGCTTTTAATACTCTGTCTTTTATAGGTGTCATAGTTAATCCTACTATAAGAATGTTCTAGCAGGGAAGGGGAGTAGAAAGATCCCCAGGGAATGATGAGGGTGGACATTGGAGACAGGGCATGGTGCCCCAACAGGCTAGACTGGAAAACACAAGTTTTTC